AAGAGGTAGAGAACCTATTCAGTTTAGGATTACAAATGCAATACGGTATTTCTCTAATATAATACTCTTGACCACATTGTTTGGTTTGATAGTTTATTCATGTCTACTATCCAATGTGATTCGTGTGCTTATATGATTACCTTGAATGTGATTTAGAACGACTTTTCTAAATCTCATTCATACTCTGGCCAGAGATTCTTAATCATATCATAGAGTATTCTCCCCCAAACGGTTTGAAGGTTAGAGATCCCTTGTTGCGCATTCACTTGCCTCCATAGCTAAGTGGCTTAACCCCAACGATGCCGTGGACACCCTCCTGATGGAGTGACTTTGACATAATCAAAGATCAAGTACTTAACCACAAGACAAACGTGATGCCTCAGGTCAAATGACTACTTTGCATTATCCCAACCATGAGTTCTCATGTGACATGAATATGAGAACTCTTCGTTGATCGTGTTTAGTGAACTCATTCTCTATTGAGCACCTACGTACTTGTCTTGATGTCACACACACCAATGACTCGAGACTAGTCACTCTCCCTGAGAGAAGACACAGCACGTACTGATCTTAACGGACTGTCAATGCCCAATTGGCAATCCTATGATCAGGAACGTTTAGGATGTGTCTACGAAAGAATGGTCTCATGAATCTAACTTCTTTAGATCGCATTCTCCCAATCACATATTCTTTGGACTTATCGTTTAAGCATATAACATTTATATGAGACGGCTCAAACAATAATCTTTGCCCTTGATATTAAACTAGATTAGTTTAACATGTGAAATGTCCGTAAAGTATCATCATATGATTGGTTTTAGGGCACATTTCCAACACCCTTGGCTAGGGGGGGATTCAAAACCATGATTATATATGTGAAATAAGTTAATTACTTCCAGTTATCGTTGCATAAGTCGTGAATACAATTTGCTTAACCGTTTGATTTAGAACTTATTCTTGTATGTTGATTGAGAGTGCACGCTTAATTTGCATGCTTGAATTTGGTGCTAGGATATAAGTTTGTTTCACCTAATCGTTATGAATTTATATTCACAAGTAGTGAAGGTCGCTAGTCACGATCGTGTTAAGTAGATTCCTGGCAAGAGTATCATGCTTTTCATAGTTACAATTGCCATGTCGATGCTTATGATTTCCAAGGAACGTAATGATTCTAACTTGTGTCTTTATCATGCTGTTCATATAGAGAACTTGTTAGGAATATATTCATCCAATTCAATGATTCTAGGGAAATCTGAAGGTTAATTTAAGCGGACCTAATTAACTTGGAGTGTCGAGGTTCATAACTTATTGAATTGATAACTGGAAATTGATTTACGTTGCATATATTTCATGTGTGGAGAAGAACCCCTTAGCTCTTCCATCATTCATTAATTCATCACAATTTTGTCTACAATCTGTTTTCTTTACAATCTGCCATTTAATTTAAATTCGTCCAAAATCAACCCCACTTTATTTCTTTGAGTCATATTTTAGTTAGAACTTGTCTTAGATTATGTTTTTAAGTGTTTTAGGTCATTAGAAAACCAAAATTCGTCCAAGTTTGCATTAGAGTCCCAAAACTGCCCAAAAAGTGTTTTAAGGCAGTTTTGAGTGTTTTTGGTGCTGTTTTGAGTCTTTTGATTTGTTTTAGTGTTTTAGAGTTTAGTTTTGCATTCTTTGAGTCTAGTTGAGTGTTTTAAACCTTGTTTTACATATTTGAGTCAGTTTAGAGTGTTTTAGCAATCCCTCCTAATCCCCGGTTTAAGAACGATCCCTACTTATCCATACTACAATTGTCAACAAGAGGGTTAATTTGTGTGTTTAGTTATTTTACGCATCAAGAATTGTGGTTGAACTCCTTTGATGAAGCTCTTGTTGGCACCATAAATTGGTTTTGCTTCACACTATCTTGATCAAAAGTGTGTGAAGCTTTTGAGAATTATGGTTGCCCTCCATTGGTGAAGTTCTTGTTGGCACCATAAATTGGTTTTGCTTCACACTGTCTTGATCAAGAGTGTGTGAAGCTTTTGAGAATTGTGGTTGCGCTCTATTGATGAAGCTCTTGTTGGCACCATAAATTGGTTTTGCTTCACACTGTCTTAATCAAGAGTGTGTGAAGCTTTTGAGAATTGTGGTTGAACTCCTTTGATGAAGCTCATGTTGGCACCATAAATTGGTTTTGCTTCACACTATCTTGATCAAGAGTGTGTGAAGCTTTTAAGAATTGTGGTTGCCCTCCATTGATGAAGCTCTTGTTGGCACCATAAATTGGTTTTGCTTCACACTGTCTTGATCAAGAGTGTGTGAAGCTTTCTACGAGTTGTAGTGTTTGCATTGTTACAGAGGGGAAATGTTTGAAGCAGATGCAAGAGAGCTGAATAGCTTGATCTTCGTAAGCCATGCACTGAAGTTGTTGTTGGCTTGCAATAAGACTTTATTGGTGACTATAACTCTTGTTGGGTATAAGTGCTCCCCTAGTTGAGTTGTCAAGCTTGAGGGTTTTTGATTATTTGTGAATGCTAGGAGTTCACATGTACAAGTTGTACCACTTGTCTTCTGGTAGGTGGAATGAATGGTGAGTTCCTTCTTCTAATTACATATTCCTTGGACTTATCGTTTAAGCATATAACATTTATATGAGACGGCTTAAACAATAATCTTTGCCCTTGATATTAAACTAGATTAGTTTAACATGTGAAATGTCCGCAAAGTATCATCATATGATTGGTTTTAGGGCACATTTCCAACACTTGAGTGGAGTCATGTACCACTGGGATTTTCTTTCGTAAGTCTTCATCGCCTCTTGGAAGTAGGATAGTTTGACCAAGGGTGTGTGATTTTTCCTTGGATTCGCCGTATTGACTTCTAGGGCGAGTCTGTTGGAATACCTCAAAGTCCCCTGTACCTTCATGTTCCTCTAGGACATGTCGTTCCTTTCTTAGATTGGCAGCTGACCTGGGTCGTGGGAGGGGACCGAGTTTTTCAGAAACCCTTGGGTCATTGATCTTCGAGCATATGTGGAGGGGATTCTCTCGACGTTGCTTTAGGAAGTCTCGGTAGTCACGATAAACGGCTTTCGATCCTTCCAACCCTTTTGCAATGAGGTGTCTTCCTCCACTTCTCCTGCTTCGCGTCGAAGCAGCTGGGTTGAGAAAAGTCTCATGTTAATCAATGTTTTGATGATTAGCTCGCTCCTCATCAAGGATACCCATGTCGAAAGAAGGTGACCCTCCGTGTTGGGGGGCACCCAGATAATGGTTGATGTCCACAGGGGCAACAAGCTCGCCTGTTTGAGTACGCATAGTTTCATGGAGTGTCTCAAAGAGCTTCTCATAGTTTCATTGCTATCTTGTTGTTTTGAGCTTCTAGTTCATCGACTTTAGCTTGAAGAGCAACCCTATTTCCTTCCTTCTTTCGTTGCTTCGCACTACATGCAAGAGGGGTGTCATTCTGTGTGCTGTGGCTTCCTTCGCTCCCCATGTTGGAGAGGGATGCCTGGTCAAAAGAGAGTGTATGAACGGTGGAAACCAGCTTGACAAAGCTGAAGAGAGTGGGAATAAGTGTCGTTCCCACAGACGGCGCCAAATGTTGATGCACACAATCAGTGAGGACTTTGGTACAACAGAAAATGTTAAGTTTGTGACCTTCGCTAGATTGCTCCGGTCACTAGTGTGGATAAGTATATGAATGGATAGGGACAGGGAAGCAAACACAAGATGTACGTGGTTCACCCAGATTGGCTACGTCCACGGAGTAGAAGAGTTCTCATTAACAGAAATAATCTCTGAAATTGACCCACACATCAAGATGATCCCTAAAATTGAAAATCGATGAATGTAATCCTCAAAAATAGGTGTCGCAAATCATTATGATCCTTCCACCACAATTCTGTAAAAAAAAATAATTGTTATGTGATGATGTGAGTTTCATAATTAATAAAAAAAGTTGTCTAAATACGTTTTTGCGCAATGGAACTTTTTTTCTTATAGGATGGCCTACTTCGAAGAGAGATCCATTCCATAAATTCTCAAAGGCACAAGGCTTAACCAAGGCCTAAGAGGTGGGTTTGGAAATAGTTTTCAACCAACAATAGACATACCTCAATTATAACCTCATTATCTCAAGGCAAACCTCGTCGTTCTTTGAGTCATCAGACCATTAGGGAAGCCCCTGCCGAACAAGCTCTCCAAGATTAAGGTTGTGAGGATGTTGTTTGCCTAAATATTAACGGTGATGTCCTAGAAGTCGTTGTCAATTGGCCAAGTCGTCACCAAAGGTGATCTCGATCCAAGTTCAATTCAATGAAGGGTGTCGAAGTGTGTAAAGATGGGATGTATTGAGATTTTTTTTTTTTTGTAGAGAATAGACAACGAATGAGATAGAGGAATGTGGATTGGGATCGGAGGTGATTGCAGGACTAGGTTTTTGGATTAACATCGTTTTATTAATTATTAAGTTATTAAACCTATTTGTAATTTTTTTATTTAATTAGACTTGTGTGACCCATTTTTGTGTGCACATAATAGAAATTTTTACAGAATTATGACGGAATGAGTACATTGATTTTGAGCACTCAATTTTCAATTTCAGGGACCATTTTGATGTCACAAGTCAATTTCAAGAATCATTTTGATGTCGCGAATCAATTTTAGAGACCATTTGTGAGGAAAAAAATGACTTATAAGACCCGTTTATGTGCCATACCAACACCTAACAAAAATTTTAACAGAATTATAACGAAATGACCACATTGATTTGCAACACCTATATTCAGGGACTACATTGATTGATTTTCAATTTCAAGAACCATCTTAATGGTAAGGGTCAATTTCAGAGACCATTTGTGATAAAAGCCCTTAATAATACTCACTTTGTCAATTAGAAATCAGTGAAATTACAATTATACCCTTTAAATACATAACTAAAAGAAAATGTGAGGAAAAAAATGAGGATATTAAGGTAATTTCAAGCAAACAACTTTTTACTGTTTTTTTTTTTCTAAACCATGTCACCCTATCACTACCCTTTGAACTCACTCGCTGTTTCACCTTCTCTCTCCATTACTGCCAGTACTTATTTTTTCCTGTGCATAACTCCTACCAAAAAAAAAATTTAAAAACAATATTTGAGAAGAATAAAAATAAAATTATATTTCTCACACATCTAGCTTAGTATAAAAAAAACAGGGCACATTTTCCACATGTCGTGCATACCATATAATCATTACATGTGTATGATCAAAACTAGAAAGTTCGGTATCCTAAACAAAAACAAGTAACCATCCTTCAACTAAAAACACTCAATGCATGTCCGCAGAGACTTTTCCACTCCCGCATCTGAGCAGCGGTTTAAGCTCCAAACTTGGCCTCGTAAACTTGAGGTTGCTGCACAAGACACCGAAAGACGATGAGCAACAAGATTATTCATGAAAATGAACCAAAAGAAAAGGGTGCGGCAACGAGAAATCAACTCTACAGTTAACACAACCATGGAGTCCTAGACAACATCTACACTACTACATGCTCAGTTTTGATGAAGAAACAAAGTCGACTCAAACTTATTGTCAGAAAAGTTTCCACGTGCTATACCAAAAATGTCCAACAATAATACTTGACATCATAAATTATATGTGCACTCGTAAGTTCATAACAAGAAAACTAAGGCCTTCGTTTGGTGAGTAGAATTGGATTGGAATAGATAATTCTCCAATTTCAAGGCAAATTGAAGGTAGATTATTCATTTATAGGGGATTAGAAGAGGATTAGACATGAAGAAAACTCAATCCTAGTGGGTCATAATTTCTTCATTTCTCCCCATAACATGCCTTAACGTTTGAGAGTTATCCATTTCAATCCAATCCTATGCACCAAACGAGCCCTTGCATCTATTTTTTTAAGATCCACACAGGAATTAGCAAAAACATACTTGACAACAGAAAGTTAAAGACATGTTACCATGAACAGGGCTGAAATCAGCCTTCCTGCAAACCATCTCCAATGCATTGCACGTTGAGCTCCGGCTGCTGCTTCCACAGTTTCAAACCACAAATACACGAAACCAGCACTGTTTCTGTATCAAGCAAAGCAAATTAGGAGAAAAAAGACCAATTCAGTTTTGAAATTCACCTGCTTTCTCAAATATCAAACGCAACACACGTATGCAGAAACAAGTGGGAAAGAACTGCTTTTGTACTCTTTAGTATCTTTTCACATTATCAAACAAAATAAAATTGAAAATACAGAGGATTTTATAAAAAAATTAAATTATAAAAAAAAAAAAAAAAAAAAAAACCCTTTGTTTCTTAACCAGGATTTGACAAAAATATTTCATCATTCAACGTGACATTATTTATTGGGGTGTGATATCCACACACCCTTTTTGTACATAGTCTTTATAGATTTGGAAAAAGTGTATGATAAGGTCCCAAAAGACATTCTTTGAAGGATTTTAGAGAAGAAAGGAGTACAAGTAGCATATATCCAAGCTATAAAGGATATGTATGATGAAGTAAGGACTGCCATAAGAACACATGAAGGACAAACTCAAAGCTTCCCCATAACTGTAGGGTTACATCAAGGCTCATCTTTAAGTCCTTACCTTTTTGCATAGGTAATGGATGAGTTAACGAGACATTCAAGATGATATTCCTTGGTGTATGCTTTTTGCAGACGATATAGTATTGATAGATGAAACTAGGAAGGAGTAAATGTGAAGCTTAACCATTGGAGAGAAGTGTTGGAATTTAAAGGTCTTTGCCTAAGTTGGTCAAAGATAGAGTATACGAAGTGCAAGTTCAGTGCAAACGAAGGCTCAAATGAGTTAGGGGTGAGGATTGGAGATCATGAAGTACCAAAGAGCGACCGATTTCGCTACCTAAGATCTATCTTGCAAAAGAACGAAGAGTTGGATGGAGACCTCAACCATAGAATACAAGCTGGATGGAAGAAGTGGAAGAGTGCATCCGACATGTTGTGTGACCGTCATATGCCATTGAAGATGGATGGCAATAAGGCCAACAATGCTTTATGGCTCAGAGTGTTGGACAGTGAAGCATCAACACGTACATAAAATTAGTGTAACAGATATGAGAATGCTTCGTTGAATGTGTGGACACACAAGAAAAGATAAGATTAGGGATGAGGATATCCGAGGTCAAATAGGAGTAGCCAAAATTGAAGGAAAGGTGAGAGAAAATCGGTTACAATGGTTTGGACATGTGAAACGAAGGCCTACTGCGATTACAGTACAGAAGTTCAGGGCCAAAGGGGTGAAGGAAGACCTAGGAAAATTTTGGAAGAAACTCTAAGAAAAGACTTAAAAGTACTTGGATATGTTCTGACGTGGCACAGAACCGAGCGCAATGATTTTCTAGGATTCATACAGCTAACCCCACTTAGTGAGAAAATGCTTTGTTGTTGTTAATCTTCTTCAATTCATTCGATCCAACGGCCAAAAATTAAGAAGGTGTGTGACCCCTATTTATTTTCTTGAACAATATTCAATGTAACAAAAATTATATTAGTTCTTAATGTTACAAGGGTTTTGAGAAATGAGAATAGAGGCATCTACTAAAAACTACATATTTTCAAATAGAGAAATCTACTGTTTTTTTTTCTCTATTTCATATGGTTTTGCAATGGGTTCCTTTCGATTTCGATGCCTCTATAATCAATCACAACCCAAGAAACTGAACACCCAACCCTTGTTGAATTGGGTTGGGGTGACTTAGTTTAATCTCCCCTTGGGAGTTCTATTTTCCAATTTCCTCCACCCTATAAGGTGAGACTGGTTAACACAAAAAGTGCCCACCCAGTATTTCATAAATATCAACGACATCTTGCAATAATATTACACAAACAAGACATTCATATTATAATTGCATACTTAGTATTCATATTTAAGCACTTACTTGTCCACATAAATATGCTTCACATGGCCATATTTCGAACATTCTTCTTCAACATCCTCTTTAATGTCTATATCAAAATCTGGCTCCCTCTGCAAACATAATACTGAATTTTAGGACTAAAAAGTATTTGGGGAGGCGAGTGAAAACAATTTTTGCAAAGAACACACACCTCAGTGGCTGGATCGAACATATTCTTCAGTAGTAGACATTCGCTGGGGTTACCAACAGGTTCATTGACTGCAACTGCTGGTGGAAGAATAGGAGCAGAGACTGCAGCTTGACCATTGATTGGCAATGCAACAGCTAGTTGATTAGGAGCTGCCCCATTCAGCGCATGAACTCCAAGAGAACCCACAATACTACCAAAAGAGAGACAATCAGACATAGGAAAACGACATAACTACCAGAAAGCAGTGAGGAAAAATGGTTGCACACCTTGTGGCAATACCAGTGCGATCCAGCTTCTGCATTAGCAGTGCTCTAGATTGGGCATTTAAAGACTGCAAAGAAAAGCACTTAACATTGGAGAGCAAGCCTCTTTCGTAGAAATTAGATTATTCAGTAATATCATACATATCAATAACAGGTCATATATTAAGGTTGGGTAGTGTTATCCACAAACCCATTTTCACTTCTCACACACCCAGTGGCGGATCCACAGTGGGGTCATTGGGGTCGCGCGACCCCTTGGAAGCCATGGAAGCAACCTTAGAGACCCCTTGGACTGGTGGTGCGACCCCTGGTGCGACCCCGTTCGCTGCACACCAACTGTTCGACGAAAGTTCGTTGGTCTGGGCAGGTTGGATGAAGAAGACGAAGGCGCTGTGGCGCCAGTTTGTTTTTAAAAAAAACCTGGGCAAAACGACGTCGTTTTGGCCCAGGTTAAAACAAAAAAAGAATGCCCAGCGTGTCCTGGGCAGGTCTGAACAAAAACAAAAATACCAAGCGTGTCCTTTCGACCTTATTTTGCACAGAGCCTTATTTTTGTGCCTTTGCTAGTGGAACCGAAAGGCTCTACTTTTTATTTTATTTTTTCATTGTTCTTTGCAGATGTAGAGCTGGAATGTAGGATTTTGAACAAGGATTTTGGAGTAGCTGGTCGCGCTATCCTACCAAGACCTGATGAAATGACGATATGCATGCCGTTTCTGTTAAAAAAAAATTTCGCGCTGCGCGCGCTATCCTTAATGACCCCCCAAACATTATTTCCTGGATCCGCCACTGCACACACCCCTTTCATTTTTCGGTCATCGGATCAAATAAATTGAAGAAGATCAATGGCTAAAAATTAACAAGGATATGTGGGAGGTAAAAATGGGTATGTGAATGACACTATCCATTAAGGTTTCTCTATCCTACGCCAATTCCACCTGTTTTGTTGTATTTCTCCAATAAAATATCCAGGAGGATGAAAAAAGTCTTCTCTTCCCGCTGGATGTATATACATGCATAGTACTAGATATCAATATACTATACATAGTATTATTGATATCTAATGCTTTGCGTAGTATTATTGATAACGAATACTATGCATGGTAACCCATCCCTGGATGAATATTACTGCTATCTATTCTATGCATGTACACATGCAAATATATAATACTACATGCATGGTATTAGATATCTATGCAGTCGAGTAATAAAAACATACAGGGGCTGACCTAAGCCCTAATATATAATATTACTGATATTTAATACTATGTGTTGATGCACAAAATCAGCGAGGACTTTGGTACAACAGAAGGTGTTAAGGTTGTGACCTTCGCTAGATTGCTCCGGTTATAGTGTGGATAAGTAAGTAAATGGATAGGGACAAGGAAGCAAACACAAGATATAGGTGGTTCACCCAGATTGGCTACGTCCATGGAGTAGAAGAGTTCTCATTAAATGTGAAAGGTTTACACAAGTACATAGGTTCAAGCTCTTCTTTAGTGAGTACTAGTGAATGATTTAGTATAACTGACATTAAGAAATATTGTGAGAGAATGATCTCTATTTATAGAAGAGAGTTTCTAGTTTCATTTTGACATTGACACGTGTCGTGTTGTGATTGACTTCTGATGTTGACACGTGTCACGCTATGATTGGCTTCTGATGTCGACACGTGTCGCGCTGTGATTGACCTTCTGGTTGGAGGGAAACTCTTCTGGATTCTTGACGGTATAACGTTGACCAGTGCTCAGTAGTTTCGGGATTGGTCAAATATAGTACAAACAGTCCTCCTCTAAGTTACCGAGTGAGGGAAGCTCCTCGGTTGGGGACTTGCAAGATCCAAGCCGTTGAGTAATCACAAAACTTCTAAGTACCGAAGTGGAGATGCACAAGGTAATGTATCAATTTGACTTGAAGCTTTCTTGTAATTTCAGGCTTGGTCAAGCGCGATACAAACCATGTAATAGGAGTCCCCCAAGTCACCGAGCTAGGAGATTTGACGAAAGGTTACAGACAAGGTAAGCAATCAGACTACTAGCAAGCAACCTGGATCGGAGGTTCGACTTCGGCTTCCAGTTGATTATTCTCCTTCTTGTGTCGTAAACAGCAACAAGGATAAGGAGAAGCAAATGAAGAAGAGATGATATGAGATATCTTTTCTTTTGAAGAAGTAACTTTTCACAGGCTTATTCTTGAACTAGGCTAGAGGGTTTTCTGGTTTCCTCCAGAGTATAAGACCAACTCAAGAATTTGAGGGTCAAAATAAGTCCATCAAATCTAGAATACGTTCGACATTGATGATATGAGATACTTTTGCTATTGACAAAGTAATGGATGTATCGGCACGTGTTCTGTTACTCTTGTCTCCACATGCTTCCTTGTATCCTTCTCACTTGCCCTATCTATTCCTCAGGCAGATGTGGTATCTTCTCTAGAAGCATAAGATGTTGAAGATGAGTACTCGAAAGCAATGTCAGATAAGTGATCAATCAAGGGGTTCTAGGCAATCAGTTCCTGATTGGAAGCTTGATTCCAAGTGCTGACTAATTGTTCTCTTTCTCCTTGTCTTGCAGGTAAGAACAAGGCCAAAGGAAAAGACAGGGAAAAAGCATGATATGGGATACTCTTGCTTTTAACCCTAATGATATGTGATACTCTTGCTCTTGTGTGGCTTGTTTGCAAAGGTATTATCGGGGGCAAAAGAAGCTGAGTATCTCGAGAGACTCTGCTGAGAGTGCTCTTTCGGATGTAAAGAAAAGTTGAGCATTTTTTTTTATTTGTAGGTTGCCTGGCTGTGGATGATAGAGGTCGACATATATAGGAGTCTCCCTAACAAGTAGTAGTGCTATTCCTTTACCCTTCTTGGTCATAGCAATGTAGTGGGAGCTGCAAACTTCACGTGTTTTAACTTTGTCAGAGCACTTTGAAAAAATGGTCTGTGGTATCTGGAAAGCTGATTTGCATGTGAAAATTGCAAATAAGCTTTATCCAAGGAAATCTAGCTCTCGAAGTTCGGAAAGCGTTGCCTCTTCGGTTTTCGAACAAGCAATCTTGTCGGGGATCTGGCTCTCGAGATTCAGAAAACGGTGTCATTTCGATTTTTGAGAAAGCAATCATGTTGGGAGTCTGACTCTTGAGATTCGAAAAGCAATGTCTCTTCGATTTTTGAGAAAGTAATCCTGTTGGAAGTCTGGCTCTCAAGATTCGGAGGGTGGTGCCTCTTCGATTTTTGAGCACGTAATTATGTTGGGAGTCTGACTCTCGAGATTCGGAGAGCGGTGCCTCTTCGATTTTTGAGCAAGCAATCTTGTTAGGAGTGTTTTCTCGAATGTGAGTAAAGGTTGGGCATTTTTGCCAGTCTGCCTTGCCACAGAGCACGGAGGTTGACATACATAGGAACTTTCTAGTTATCAAAAAGTGGTGTTGTTCCTTTACCTTTGTGGGTAATAGTAGGGTAGCTGGACCTTCAAAATTTATGTGTCTAAACATTGTCAAAGATCTTTTGCAAAGTTATCTGTGGTACCCGAGGAACTGATGTTGCGTGTGGAGAGTGGTGCCTATTCAAAATTCGAAGAGTGGTGCCTCTTCGATTTTTGAACTAACGACCCTGTTACCCTTTCTTTTATAAGGGCACCAATTGTGTGCAAGAAGTACATTCAGAGAGTTATTGTTTGTAGGAATTTTCCCCTTATTCTTGTACTTAAAAGATTTATTGCACCTCATTTCTCTTCATCATTTCTGAGAATGTCTGGCCTATCCAATCGTCGTTTTGACTTGAACTTTGGTGAAGAGGCAGCCATGCCTTCTCAAGACAACATATGGCGCCCATCCTTCTTATCCCATATTGGTCATCTTACCGTTAGGGACTCTATGATGAAGAATGATACGAACGCTGCGGTGGTGGCCAAGAACCTTCTCACTCCTAAAGATAACAGACTACTTTCCAAACGGTCTGATGAGTTGGTTGTTAAGGATTCTCTAGCTCTCAGTGTTCAGTGTGCAAGTTATGTGTCTAATATGGCCCAACGCCTATTTGCTCGAACCAGACAAATTGAATCATTGGCGGCTAAAGTGATAAGTCTCAAACAGAAGATCAGAAGGCTCAAGCATAAGAATAAACAGTTGCACAGGCTTGCACATGACTATGCTACAAACATGAAGAGGAAGCTTAACCAGCTGCAGGAGTCTGATGGTCAGAGTTTACTTGATCATCAGAGGTTAGTGGGTTTGTTCCAAAGGCATTTATTGTCTTCGTCTTTTGGGGCTGTACCGCGTAATGAAGCTTCAAATGATCAACCTTCGATGCCTCCTCTTTTTGGGGTTCTACCCAATACTGAGGCTCTGAATGATCACCCTCTGGTGCCTACTCTTTCTGGGACTCTGCCGATTGCTGAGACTTCTCAAGAGCAACCTTTGTGAATGCTCTCTCTTGTTTGTTTATTTTGATTCATATATATGTACATATTTGTAACTTATCGGAGATATCAATAAACAAGCTTTGCTTCATTTCAACGTATTGTGTTAAATACACCAAGGTCTTCTTCATTAAGTTCTTTGAATTTTTTCTTTTGTTAAAGCTTATATGTTGAAGGTTTGAGAGTGAAGCATGTATGTTGAGATAGTGCTTGCTTAATTTCCCGAGTAAGGAAAACTTTTCGGTTGGAGACTTGAAAAATTCAAGTCACTGAGTGGTCGTGAGACTTATGAGTATCAAGGTGCAGTAGCATATGGTAGGAGTCCCTCAAGTCTCCGGTCAAGGGAGTTGCCTAACGAGGCAATTCCTTTCTAAGTGGTAGCCCAAAACTCCTCCTTCATATATATTTGTTATGAAAGTTGTTAAGCCTAAAGAAGAGGAGGCCTAGACATTTTTTTTTTTTTGAATTTTTTTTTTTTCAAATTTTTGAATTTTCAAATTTTCAAATTTCCGATATATATATATTTTAAGCTTTATAGGTGAAGTTTTGTAGGTGAAGCTTTGAGGTTGAAGCTTTGTTGGACACCATGAATTGATTTTGTTTCACACTATCTTGATCAAGATCGTGTGAAGCTTTTGTAGGTGAAGCTTTTG